TGTTCTATTATAGGAAGGATTTGCTTAGCATAATCCCAGGTTACTTTCCTGGACCAAATACTTGTTTTCTGGGTCTACAGTAGTTGAGAGTGTCATTCTAGAACCCATTTCCGAGTATACTGCTTGTTCTATAGTCCAGGTTCTGTCATCTATGAGCTGTGAAACCTTGAACATAATACTTATCCCCTCTGAGGTTCAGTTTCTCATCTATAAAATGTGGATTTTAAAAAAACAGATCAACATCATAGGTTGATATTGGGATTAAATGTGATAATATATAGAAAATATTTAGGACAACACCTAGCATAATTACTAGGTGCTCAGTGAATGCTAAGTCTAGGTGCAAGTAGAAACACAGCTCTGCCCTTGAATCTCAGAGCTGACAAAGTAGGATAAACTAACCAGGGACTGAAATTTTCTTAATAAAGTCTCACTTTGCTTTTCTCTGTACTTGTAAGAGGAACTGCATTTAGTTTCTCCAAAACAGTTGATTTGATCTGGCCCATTTGGTAAGGAATGTCTGACAAAAGTGCACTGTCTGATTCAGATGTAGTGATTGCTGCTGTAGAAATTGGCTTTAGAATCTTCAGGGACTTCTGCAGTTGAACTGAGAAGACATCCTCATCAAGTACAGTGCTTCTAACACTTCTGGGTACTTTAGATTCTCAGCTACTCCTGTTTCTTGAAGAGCTTCTTTGTTTTTCAGAAAACTCTCAAAGGAGATTAATACCCCACCCCATGGAGTTTTACTGCAGACTTTCAGTGTCAATATTTTGTTCCTTGTGTCCTGTTTTTCTTGCCTCATCCTAATAACAGTGGTGACAATGTGAGATTCTGCTTGTCAGAGGACTTCTTTTTCCTTTTCTTTGGTGCATTTGGGAAGGATCTGGCTTCATGTTATCACTGAAAGGCAGTGTGGTACAGACAGAGCTTCACACTTTGTCATTTACCAGCTCTGCAGCAATAGGAAAGTCACAATGCTTCTCTGTGTCCCCATTTTCTTAACTTTAAAACAAGGAAGTGAGACCCAACATCTCAAAGGCTCTTCCATCTTTAAAACTTTGTCATCTTAGGAAACAATTATCCAAAGTGAAATGCCCATCCTCTTATCATATGTGGGGTTTTATTCATGTGTGATGCTTGGCGCTGCTTTCATGTTCCTGGCATCATCAGTGAGCAAAGCAAATGCTTGACTGCTTCCTATGTCTGTCAAATAGTACATATTTTATAGCCATGTATTCTGCTCTGAAGCTGTTTTCTCCTCTTTCTGCACTTTTGCCTGTTTGAAGAAGGTGGTTATGCTGTCATACAGTTTTAGAGTCCGTCTCCACTCCCGCTTGTCCACTCATTTGTAGTAATGCAAGGCCCAGGCCTCTGTTGATTCTTCCTTGCACGGATTCCATTACCCATTCATATTCACTCACTGAAAGAGGCTTGCTCACAGAATGCTGCTGGGCAAATAGTATGACGGTCTTAGTAATTTGAAAACTTCCGGCAGTATGTGTTTTCCATTATTGACAATGGTGTTTCAGAAGGATATATGGCTCTGGCAAGAGTTTGGTCAATTTGTTCCTGCTCTTCAGGTGTCACCTGTGTGCTAATGAAGCCATTGAGAGTGTTTTGTATGCAGTGGCTTATACCTTTGTTGGCTCAGGGGTCCTGAACAGGCACTTCTTGGTGGTGATACTAATGTTACAGAATCCAGGAGAGTAGAATCACAGCTCTGTGCAGAACATCAGGAAGCTTTCTATGCTTTTTCCTCATTGTGGATCTCTTACCTCACACTTAGAAAATATTTGAATAGCACTTCCCAGATTCAGTTGTTTTTTTAAATAGAATTTAGAAATGTGTCTCTCTATCAACAGTTCTGTGGCTGGAAGCTGGATCATTTGCAAGAGAAAAATCCAGTGGAAATAAACATTGCATAGAGGTGCTTCCAGGTAGCTGGAAACACCTTTCTGGTTATCCCACATTTCCTCTTCTCTCCTGAAGCTAGGTAAGGTATTGTGTGACACAACCTTAGAGTACAAGGAATTTGTGTGTAACAAGCTGTGAGAACTATGCAGCTGAAAATCAAAATTCAGATGCATTTAAATTCCTGTTTATTGAGAAGAAGCGTCCTTCTTTTCCTGCCTGTTTTGTGGCCATTAGGATCACAAGATCAAGAATTGGTCTTCTATATTCTTGTAATTCAAAACCTCTGAAAGTGAAGTTGCTCAGTCCTCTCTGACTCTTTGCGACCCCATGGACTGTAGCCTACCAGGCTCCTCCGTCCATGGGATTTTCCAGGCAAGAGTTCTGGAGTGGGTTGCCATTTCCTTCTCTAGGGGTATCTTCCCGACTCAAGGATTGAACCCGGGTCTCCTGCATTGTAGGCAGATGCTTTTACCGTCTGAGCCACCAAAGCCTCCACATCCTCCCTAACTCTCCTCTGTCTTGGGACTTTTTTGACCACAAAATGCCATATCACTCATCTCCCTAGGAATTGATAGATGTTGCTGACTTGTCCACTTCTGGTCCTCTCCACTGAGAGATAATCAAGAGGGCCATACATTTAGTTGACAATAGAAGTCAATGAAAGAAAACCCACAACAAAGCAAACATAGATTCTTCTATCTCTCTGGGAGTCCAAAGTGATCTGTTTGACAGTTCTACTCTTCAGTTTTGAAATGTAAGAGATTAGCTATGTTAGATAGGTAGAAAGACTGTCATTCCATGGCATGATAAAGCTGACTCACAGCATATGAGTCCCTCATTTTCATCATCCTATATAAATTTTTCATCATCTTATAAAAATTCATAATCCATTATTCAAACTATTTGTACAGAAAAAGCAGATTTAAAATTTACATTTTGCTCAGCTTCTCCTCTCCAAAGGACAGCAACGTATATGAAACAGAAAACAATATAATCCACCTGGAATTAAGGCCATTAATTAAGTCTATTAAATCCAATAGACTGATAGAGAATTAATCAGTAAATTTTTATTGAGCATCTACCATATTTTTGACTGCAAGATAGAGCAGAAGACAGGGCCTGCCCTTGGTTTCATTATGATCTGTTTGAGGAAGCAAACAATAGGGCCAGGGCCAATGCTTCGTCAGCTATAGTGACTGGTAAACCATGGAGGACAGAAACTATAGAAAAGTTCAGAAGAGAGAAACTTCTCTGATAGGTAGAACAGTAGGGGGTTTAAGGCTTGAGCTGGAAGGAGAGGGAAATGATAGTAAGAAGAAAATAACATGGCAAAAGCAGAGATTTCACAGCACCCAAGCCAGCGACAGCAGTCAAATTAAACCAGGAAGAGTGAGAATCAGAGCTGAGAAAGCTGAGTGGGAAGAGTACCAGAGAGGCTTTGAAAGTCTGGTAGACTTTAGACTGCCAGAGAGTCAAACTATAGACTACAGAGAATCTGCAGTGGTTTTGCCAGGGGAGTGATGTGATGAAAGCAATGTTTCATGAGGGCTAACCAAGCAGCCACACGTGGGATGGACTGAAGAAGAATGTGGAGGCAGGGAACACAAGTGGAGGAAATGGAAACAGGATGGATGTAATAGACATTGCTAAGGAAAACTGACGGCGCTTAGTGACGGACTTCAGATGGTGAGGGGGGTGGGAGCTACGTCAAGAACAACTCCAGAGGTTTTGGTCTGATGGTCTTCAAGTGCGTCAGTAGAACTGACTATGGGGAAAATGATCACTTTTGAGGTGACAGTGGGACAGCTAATGAAAAGGTTCACAGGTAGCTGGGAATGCAAAGGCCTGAGCTGTGTCTCTGTCTACTTAGGGAAGGATGAATCACTCAGATGTGTTAAGGTAGCAGTAAGGAAACTCACACATTTCAGGGAAGTTGGGGGTGAGGTCAACTTTAAGGGGAGAGTGTCAAGGAGAGAGAGAGAAGCGCTTTGGAATAGCCATCAGGAGGATGAGGTCTAGCGCCATGGATGAGAAGAAAATGGGCCAGAGATGCATAGTTCTGTGACTTCTTCCAGTCACACCTCTTCCCACGGTTGGACAGAGGCAGTGGAATGGAAGAGAGGCACTGGTTGAAGAGGAGACTAAGGGGAATACGGAGAGGAGAGATGGGATCTGGGACCCAGGAGAGGATGAATGAGTCTCTAGGGCATGAAAGTATGGGAGAGGGCAAATTATTGTTAGAGACTGGAGCATGCTAAATTGCAAAGGAGGCAGTAACCGCTTCGTGGCAATGGAGGGGGTCTGCAAGGAAGGAAAGCCATTTAGGGACAGCTGTGTTCCAGAGATGTCTGTGGACTCTGGGTATCTCCCTCAGACTGGCATGCTTCGCCTTCACTCCAGGACAATAGGAAAGTCCTTCCTCCCACTCTCCAGACTCTTAACAACAGACATTCAGGGACAGAAGTCCAGCAGCTAGTGGGCCGAGCAGACTTTGCTCACTGAAACTTGGTCTAATCCACTTGTCCTGCTGGCTCAAAGCTCCTGATTTCCTTCGGAGATGGTTTTCTATCATTTAAATGTCATAAACAGTAACAGGAAAATAGCCCACTGGCCAGCCCCTGCTCTTCACACACGCCAGGCCCAGCACCTGCAGCTTCACTTGGAGAGGACAAGGAATAACCATGTGCACCAGAGAGGGAAGAGCTGAGCAAGATGATAGAGGTCCTTTTTTCTACTGGAGAGATACAACTGAGTATCTCACTGGGAAGGAGGAGTAAAGCCAGGTCATCTCCCTCCCTTCTCCATCTGGGTTTGGGCTAGAAAGAGACACAAGCAAAGGCAAACACACACACATGCACAGAGACACACAAAGAGCTACATGAGCCAAGGTGCATACACATAACCGATCATGGGACATTTAGGTGACAAGCTCGATACACATAAGGGCCCACCTGGACCTTCTCATTCAGCTCCACTCCCACGTGTCTGCACGCAATAGTTTCTTTTCCACAGAGTACCCTGGTGTGAGCAGAGGCAGGCCCCTCTCTTCCAGGCCTCACCCCTTCCCCTTTGTGTTTTTCCAGGTCGTGACATGGCGAGCACCACTCTGCCTGGTTACCCCCCTCACGTGCCCCCCACTGGCCAGGGAAGCTACCCCACCTCTACCCTGGCAGGAATGGTGCCTGGTATGTGACGCAGCTGCAGCTGCCTAATTTAGGTGGGGGTAGCTAAACTGTGGGTGAGCTGCTGCATGGTCTGTAGCCTGAGACTGGGGGTGGGGGGAAACCCAATATCTCCTCCCCCTCAAACTACTGCTGTTCTATCCCTCTGTCTCCCTAGAGGCTGCAGCGGGGATCCCTCACCCTCCCTCTTGAGCACCCCACGGAGGGAGCCTGCAGAAGTACCCGCTGTGTGCACTCTCCTGTATGTCCTGGCCCCTCTGCAGTGCCCACCCATCCCAGCCTGTGCCCGGGGAGCACTCGGTCTCAGCTCCACCCTCAGTGCCCTAGCCCACCCCCAGCCAGCTGACACTGCCCGGAAGAGCCTGCCCTGGTTTCCATGGAAACTTGGAGCCAAGAACCATTTCCAAGGGCATGTCAGTCACTCAGACAAAGCCACCCTTGGGTCCACACCAACCCACTGGGAAGACCAGGAGTCGACCCCACCCCAGGGAGAGAAGGGAGTCAGTCCCTAAGGAAAGAGGAACAGAAGACAGACTGTGGCAGGAACCAGAGAGGCTGGCTTCAGAGAGACAACCTAGAGCACCCCCATGTCTCAGAGGAGCCCTGGGCCTTCACTGCTCCTGGGGGCTCTGACCTGTCCCCCTCTGAGAGGACCTGGGTTTGGGCTGTGTGGATCAGAGAGAAAGGGGCCATATGCAGGATCTGGTAACTACACCTGGAGGCTGTGCTTTCCCCAACTCCTCACCCCAGATTGGGAGCTGGGCTTGAAGCCAGAGAGAGAGTTGAAGCTCCTATTCACATCAACACCAAAAAACTCTTGTCTTAAAGAGGATGAGAGTCACTGGGCCTGCATTCTGTCCTGCTGGGTGTCCTCTGTGTGCCGGTTCCCTGAAGCTCAGCTCTCATGGAAGGCGGGGGGAATAGAATAGGGTGACTGGCCCCATTCCTGGATGGGCCATTCAGGGACAATCCTTGGTCAGCAGAGCTAGGGGAGGGGGATTGCAGAGGGGGAGATTGCTGCCTGGTGTTGCAGAACAGGGGGCTGGAGGAGCTGGGTAAAAGAGTTGAGGGTATGAGTAGGGGGATTCCTGCCCAGATTTAGACTAGAGGGAACTGGAGTATTGGGTGCAAGGAGATTCTTCTGGGAAGGTCCCACAGGAGAGCAGGTGGAGGCTGGAGAAGGTCTCAGAGAGATGGGGTTGCAGGAGGGGGGAGTCTGCAAGGAGATGGGGGTGAGGGGAACCGCAGAGAGCTCACGGTGGCAAGGGGGGAGTCGTTAAACAGAATCTAGTGCTGATGAGGAAATTACACTTGTTTCATTAGCGATGGGGAAGGAGATAGCTCAGTTCCTCTTGGTCACAGTTGAGCTCAGAAGCTCATTATCCTGCTGCACGCATGCTTTCCCTCCTCGTCAATAAACAGGCTTTCCAGTGGCTGCATCCCCCACCCCCACCCCAGCTCCCTCTCCGAGAGGGGCCCCTTCTCCTCTACTTAACCCGCGGTTAGGGATCACTGTAAACAGTCTGGGGTCATCACACAGGAGAAAGGGCGAGGGGGAAACCCGGGGGCCTGGCCTTTCTCGCGCGGAGGGAGGGAAGCAGCTTCCGACGGCTTCCAGCCCACGGGGCCCTCCGTTCACCGCTTGCGAACCCGCAGGCAGTCCACCTGCCTCCTCCCGCCGCCTCCTTCCCCTGCTGCGTGGCCCACGTATCAAATCTCTAGAGGGAAAGGAGGGAGAGGAGTGTTTCCCAGCAGAGCCCCCACCCCTCGCATTGACACCGTGCTGAGATGCCATTCCCAGGACTTTCTGGGACAAAGTGTCCCGAGGGCCTGTTTTCGCCATCCTCCCCCGCTTCCATCCTGTGGGGCTGTGGCTGCTAGAACCAGAGTCTCCACTAAAAAGGCTTTGGTCCCCAACACAGGGCGTAGGTGCCCCTGGACTCAGAACAAACCCTTCCTGGCGACTCGGAGCGCTTCCGAGGGAGCGCCCCAAAACTACCTCCGCGCCTCTGTGCGAGGCGCGTCGGTGCTTCTGCACATACACACACACACACACACACACCAACACCACCACCACCACCACCACGGGCTCTCCCCCTGTGGACCAGGTGGATTGTTCTGTCTCCGCCCGGCCGCCTGACCGAAGCATCTGCACCTCGGACCCGGGGGAGGCCCCTGGCCGGGCACGTCGGGTCCGCCCTGGCCTTGCGCGTGTCTGATCCCCACTCCCCCGCCCTCCCGCAGGGAGCGAGTTCTCCGGCAACCCGTACAGCCACCCCCAGTACACGGCCTACAACGAGGCTTGGAGATTCAGCAACCCCGCCTTACTAAGTGAGTACCGCCACCTGGCTGGCCGGCGGCTCAGCGCGTCCGTCCGCACGCCCGCCAGCTCGGCCGTGCGGCTTCCGGACGCGGGTTCGACAGCCCGCCACCGGACCTTTGGGTGCCCAGCGGGGCAGGCTTGTTAGCGCAGCTTTGAGGCCCCGGGATCCCTAGAGGACGCCCGCGCCTCCCGCCCCTCCCTCGGCTCCGCTCTGTTCGCGGCGGCTGCAAGGCTCTGCGCCGCCCCACCCTGGGCCCCCTTCGAAGTGCGCTGTCGGGCGGCGGCGGTCACCGATCGGGTCCCTCTCCCACCCGGTGAATGCAGTTCTCCTGGGGGCAACCGGCCCCGCAGCTCAGCCAAGGCCTCCCTGCACGGATCCTGCTAGACCCCAGCACGAGGAGGTCTCTGCTTTGCTTTACTTTCCTTTTTTGTTCTCCTGTTTGTCCTCTCACCCAGCCCATTCTTCTCCTGTGTTAACTTCCAGGTTCCCCTTATTATTATAGTGCCGCCCCCCGGGGCTCCGCCCCTGCCGCTGCTGCCGCTGCCTATGACCGCCACTAGTTACCGCGGGGACCACATCAAGCTTCAGGCCGACAGCTTCGGCCTCCACATCGTCCCTGTCTGACCGCCCGCCCCGAAGGGAGGGAGGATCGACGCGACCCGAAGCCTCCCGGTCACCGCCCCAGACCCAACCCCCCTTCCAGGGCCCCTCCAGCCCTTCACTTCACCCCGTCCAAGGCGGGACAGGACGAGTGAAGCCGCGGGCGGGACCCTCAGGCCCGGGCCCACCGCCCCCAACCCCTCCCGCCGCCCCCTCCCGCCTGCTGGACTGCGCCGCGTCGCGAGGAGGGCCCGACCCAGTTCGTCCCTGCCTCGCCCGAGCTGGCCCCGGAGCCCACCAGCCGCACCGCCGGACTCTGGCCGGGCCCGCAGCTGCGCGCGGGGGACACGCTTCTGTGACACACAATCAGCGCGGACTGCAGCCTGGCCCAGCCCCGGAGCAGCCCGCCTTGGACGCTCCGGTGAGCGCCAGGAGGCTTCGCTGGAGGGACTGGGCAAAGGAAATGAAGAACAAAACGATTTTCTGCAGAAGGAGGAAGAGCCTCCTGCGGAGACCTCGGGGAAATGTCCGAATCCCGGCTTCAGCCAGATAGCCCCCACCTTCTGAGTGTGCCCTGCCCAGAAGGTGGAATGGAATGGGGGCGTGGGGGCCGGGCTTCAGGGATGCGCTTTGGGGATCGTCAGGAGTTTCCAAGGTTGGGACCCAAGGCACACAGGCCCCAGCAGCCCGCATCCACCGAGTCCGACCCTTGGCTCTTCCCAACTCCACCTGAACTGCCCAGTTCCCAAGGGCCCAGGCAGCCCCTACTAGTGACCAGACTCTCAGCCCCCGCCTTGCCCCTACCTCGGCGTCTCTTCCATCTACCCACCTAGCAGCTCCCCCTCCTACCCGTCCTTTTCCGATCCCACGTCGCTCTTCATCTCTCCTCCCTAACTCGCCGCCCTCCCCTGAGGCTGCCCCCGTGCCTGCCTCAGGACCAGTTTCTGCAGGCCAAGGCACTGGTCACCCCAAGCAGTTATCCGATGACCCCTGGCCCCCGCCCCGACACAGACTCAATCTGCCGGCGGTAGGAGCAGGATGTGAGCTGGCGTCTGAGCTGCGCGGAGTGGAAGGTGGGGGGCTGCCCACTCCACCCACCTCCATCCTCTTCCTCTGGCAGGAAGTGAACAGAACCGCAAAAAGTCAAGTCTACATTTATTTAATATGATGGTCTTTGCAAAAAGAAAAACAAAAACACCCAACAGGCTGCTGCTTTGTAGAAAGACGGTGTGTGTCTTGTGAAGGCGAACCCACGTGTATATAACCCCGCCCCTCCTGCCCCGCCCCTCCCGGTAGAGTCCCAGGTGCCCGCCCGCCTTGCCTGTAGATAACGCCCCGCTGTCTGTGCTCTGAGAGTCGCCGCTCGCTGGGGGGGGAGGGGGGAACACAGCTACACGCCCACTAAAGCACAGCACGTCCTGGGGGAGGGGGGGCTTTTTTTTATGTTACAAAAAATGACGAAAGAAAAGAAATCTCTATGCAAAATGACGAACATGGTCCTGTGGACTCCTCTCGCCTCTGTTTTGTTGGCTATTCCTCTGTAATTGCGTGTTTTCGCTCTCTCCTCCTCATCTCTCCTCTGCATCGCTCCCCTTTCCCGCTCTCGTTTCTGCTTCTCTCCGCCTCTGTCTCGGTCTCTCTGAGTCTTCGTCTCACTCGTCTCTCTGTCTCTGTCCTTCCCTCGGCCTCTCTCCCCAGCCCTGCCCCGGCTGCCTTGCCCCTTGAGGCTAGATCAGAGGTGGCGGCTCCAGCCCCTAGGTTCGCCCCTCGCGCCCGTGTCCCGTGGGCTATGGGCCGCCGGCGGCCGGGCCGCCCCGCCCCGTAGTTGCTCTCTCGGTAGCGGCGATGCGCCCTGCATGTCTCCTCACCCGTGGATCGTGACGACTCGAAATAACAGAAACAAAGTCAATAAAAGTGAAAAATAAATAAAAATCCTTGAACAAATCCGTAAAGGCTTGGAGTCCTCGCCCAGATCTCTCTCTCCTTCGAGCCTTTTTATTTGAAAAGGAAAACGAGAAAATAGTTAAGGGAACTGCCGGTGCCCAGCCAGGCTCCAGTGGCCCAAGCGGGGCGGCGAGGGAGCCGAGGTTCAAACGCCGAGGCCCGGCCCATTCCAGTCCCTGCAGGGCTGGCGCGACAGGGGCCCAAACCCAGGACCCAGCCGAACCCTCGGAAGATCCCCGGATGTCTCCGGTCTCCTTGGCCACCTTCAGCGCGTCGGTTCGTTTTGATTCTTTTTCTTTTCTTTTCTGTGCACATGACAAATTAATAATAATAATAAATAATAATTAATAAATAATAATAAAATTTTGTATGTCACTCCCCATGGCTCCAAGTTTGTCTCTACCTGGTCTCTGGAACAGGCCTTCCCTCACACTAGTCGATCTCAAATAAACCCACAGTAATCCTCTCAGCTGCATTCCCTTTGCGACCCCTCTCCCATCGCTTTTCCCAGACCTATCGGCGCATCAGAAACCACCCTCCCCTGCCCACATCCCCACCCCCACCCGACCCCCACCCCACCCTTGGAGCAAGGAGTTTTCTCTTTGCAAAACTTCAGAATAACTTCGGGTGATTTGGTCGCTCTACCTCTCCACTCACACCCAAACTTAGAGTGCAGTCTCTCAGAACTCGCCGTCGGAGACCGTCTCTGCGTGGCAGGGAGATTGTTTGCTGTCCTGTCTCGTTCCACCGCTCCTCCGCGCAGCCGCAGTTTTTATCCCCAGTCCGCCTGGAGACCACAAACACTTGCCACCGGTTTTCTCGCTGCGCATTTCTTTCTTGGCCAGGACAGCATCCATTCCCACAGAGACCCGGGGGAACCTGCGGGCTCAAGCGACCTCGCGCGCCCCTTGGGTCTTGCGGAGTCCGCGCCTGGGCGAGCAGCCGCTAGGATCGGTGCGGTCTGGGTGTATCTTGAGGGCGCATGTTATGCAGTCGTTCGCCGGCTCCCATTTCTGTTGTTCTGCGTGGGTCTGCATGTTCCTGTGCGAGTCGAGGGGTAGGGAAGTGGGAGAACTGTTAGTTTTTTCAGACACCCTGACTGTTCTTGTGCCCAGGTGTCCAGTGAAGGTTGACTGTGTCTGTCCCTATGTCCCTCTATCCTGTTCAGGGGAGGGATGGAGTGATTGTCCAGCCTACTTCTGTTGTACTTGGAAGGGGTCTGCCCTCCATCCCTTCAGAAACCTCCCACGCCAGTCCTCCCACAAAGGCCACAGTCTCCACCTGGTCTCTGCCCTAGGATACTTTCCTTCTCTACCCCTGGGAACCTTCCCAGCTCAACTTCCATCTCTGCCTCCTCCCACTTGAAATACTCTGGAAGTTCTGAGCTGCCAGGGGTGGCTGGGCAGCTGCAAGCGGGACCTGGAGGCAGACTAAGGAGTGAACTTTCCCATTGGCTGGGGACACTGTTTCCTACACCCCTACCTCCGATCAGGATTCCAACAGGCCTGTCTTTCCCCAGGCCTGTTTCCCCAGCCTGCTCACATCGTGATGCTGCAGGGCCCCCAACAAATCATCCAGCCCCTAAGCAGTCAAGTCCATCCGCTTCCTTCTGCCTCACCACCTGTGTCTCCTCCCTAATCCCATATTAATAAATGACAGCCCCACCTTCCACTTGCCCCTACTGCTCCTTTTAATCACCGGTCTCTTATAAGAATGGTCTTTAAACTCCTTTGATCATACATCCTAGCAGTAAAAAGAATTCTGAATTTGTACTCCTAATATATTTGTGCATACGTGCTCAGTCGCTTCAGCAGTGTCTGACTGTTTGTGAACCTGTGGACTGCAGGCAAGGCTCCTCTGTCCATGGGATTCTCCAGGCAAGAATACTAGAGTGGGTTGCCATGCCCTCCTCCAGGGGATCTTCCTGACCCAGGGATCAAACCAGTTTCTCTTATGTCTCCTGCATTGGCAGGTGGGTTCTTTACCACTAGCGCCACCTGGGAAGCCCATAAGTATACTCACAATTTCCATACAAAACTCAACTAACATATTAAGAATCTTATAAAACAAAATAGAAAAAGGATGAGACTGGAATACATAGAAATTCCAATGTTCTCTTCTCATGCCTAAGTGGATTATTTTGCACCCGCTGGAAAATGTTTACCCCACTTCAGAGAGCCTGCTCAGAACCCAAATCCAGTGTGGCAGAACTCCTGATTATTGTCTGAAGTCCAGCAAGTGGATTCTGGACGTTGAACAGGGCACTGGGTTGGCCCATGCAATACCACATGCATCACATGGAGTGGTTCTCTGGCCCCCAATGCCTGGCTTTGCCTTCAGGTGCCCCAGAATGGGAGCCCTGTCCTACTCAGGTCATCAGATTGGGAGCCAGCACCTCTCACCTGGGTCCCACCAGAACTTCTTACCTTCTGTTCTCTTTCTGGTCTCCTTCATACCAAATTGATTTTGAGGGTCTGCTGTCAACAGTGACCAATTCTACCCAAAAAACTTTTATTCTGTGTCCCTCCAGTGGAATATTCCCTCCTAGAATCAGCCTGAGGGGCCCAAAACATGCTGTACAATCCTTGAGCAGTCGCCTATTCAAACAGGACCTGTTCCCCAGCTCTGCTGTTCATCAGAACTCACCTAATTCTGACTCTGCTAGCCCTATTCCCACCCTACTCCCACAGAGTTCCTAGCTGAGGTTCACCAAATATGACAGAAACTGTCCTGGGTTGAGGAAACAATAGTAGCGAAGACATGGAGGCATGCAAATATACCAGATGAAATGGGCCGGGGTATCAGCTGCCTGGGGAAAGACAGAAGGGGTTGGGAGAGGAGGCAAAAGATGAAACTTAAAAGTGATTGAAAGTCAGGACACTAGAAATGTCCAAATGGTATCCATCACTCGTGGCTTCTTTAAGGAAGCTGTCCTGCTCACAGCCCACCCTGACCATGTATCCACCAATGATTGTACTAGAATTGGACTCATACACAAAACTGAGCTGGGCCGATCAATCCACTCTCTCAGGACACAAAACTAGGAGGAACAGAGAGAATAAGTCCATTTGACCATGATAGTCAAGGTCCAGTGGAGACTGGGGGATTCCACAGTCCTTTATTTTATTTATTTATTTTACTTTTGGCTGTGCTGGGTCTTCAGTGCTGCACGGGCTCTTCTCTAGTTGCAAAGAGCACAGACTACTTTCCAGTTGTGGTGCTCGAGCTTCTCATTAAAGTGGCTTCTCCAGTTGCGGAGCATGGGCTCCAGGGCTCATGGGTTTCAGCAGTTGTGTCACGTGGGCTCAGAAGTTGCAGCTCCGGAGCTCTAGAGCCCAGGGTCAATAGTTATGGCCCACAGGTTTAGTTGCTCCTCGGCACGTGGGATCTTCCCGAACCGGGGATTGAACTCATGCCTCCCACATTGACAGGCAGATTCTTTTACCACTGGCCATAGGGAAGCCCTCTCTAGTCCTCTCATCTCAGTCAAGGACAACTCCATTCTACCAGTCACTCAAGCCAAAACCTCAAATCTTCCCCGACTGCTCCTGTCTCTCCCATCCCCTATCTGATCCACCAGCAAAATCAGTCAGCTTTTCCTTTAAAATAGATCCAGGGACTTCCCTGGAAGTCCAGTGGTTAAAACTACTCACTTCCACTGCAGGGAGCTCAGGTTTGATCCCTGGTCAGAGAACTAAGATCACATGCAGCACAGTGCAGCCAAAGGGGAAAAAAACAACAACAACAGATAACAGAATTTGACCATTTCTGATGATCTGCACTGTACCATTCCGGTCTAAGCCAGTATGACCCTTCACCTTGAATTGCAAAAAAAAAAAAAAAATGGCTTTCTTGTTTCCATCTTCACCTCACCCACTCCAGTCTACTCTCCCATCAGCAGAGTGATCCCCCAAAGTGGAGAGCAGAGCATGCTCTT